GTGTATACATTTAAAACTCACAATAAAAAAAATAACAAAATTTTGTATATATTTTCTAGATTGTAATTTTCGAGTTCTGTTTTGTGTTCACTAATGATATGTTTTCAAATAAATAAATCAGTGAAACTAGATGATTTTCTCTATCTTTTTTGGGGGGCAAGTGAACTTTGAAACTGGGCAAGTGGATTCCCAGTCATTACTAGCCCGTGGGCAAGTGGCTTTCAAAAAAAAAATCTAGACCCCTGAAGCACACCTTGTTGCAAGTGACAGGAAGAACATTTATGTTATCAGCAAGTTGTGCTGTTTACCAATTTTTTTTTTGTAATGGTTAATTATTCATGTCACCTCTTTCATTACTGTGTAATACATGTATAGGCATGGACAAATATATACTGTGTATGGAGTATATCTAAATTCATGATAAGAAGGTCCACGTGATCTTGCTGTGCACATGGGAAACGCACGCTTGCTTCGTTAACTATCACACGATTTGGGATCAGCTTCTATCGCTTGAATATCAACCAACACAGACTGTGTTTCTGATGTTTTTTGTTCCTATCTACATGTACGTATTCGTTGCAAGTAAAATACAAGTGTAGAAGTGAATTATTGTTGTTTTTTTTTTCAACTTGCAGAATACAGAGATACTTCCAAAAACTTTCATTTTAAAAAATTTAAAAAAATTGACCGTATGTACCTTTAAAGAATTACTGCATTTTCCTATATGATCAATAGAGCTCCACTCTAACATCACAGCTCCTGCCCCTGGCGCAATAAAATTCACAATTTCTGTAAAGGCTTCCATTCTTATTCTTAATATGCACGGAGATTGACTGCTAGATGCTTGGAGGAAAGATTCTTGAAGAATTACTGTATACTGTATGTGTACTTTAAATAGCGGGCTTCATATTTAGCGGCTTTGGCGCAGACAACAATGCGCTAATTCATGAATACCGCTAAGAAATAATTTATAAATACAATATACAGCACCGACATGTATAGCGCTAACTCATGATTTCGTCAACAACTCCATACCCAGTGATTGCGCTAATTTTTGAATACACCAATTTATGAACACGTACAGTATTTACCCTATGATCAATAGAGCCAGACCCTAACACCAACATAACCTCTGACCCTGGGGCCATGAATTTCACAATTAAGAAACATCTCCGTCTACACCAGTATCTCAACTGATTGAAGGAAAAGATCAATACACATGTGCTGATGTAGAGAAGAAATCTTCAACATTGAATATGAATTCAAAATAAAACTTACTTTTCCTCGAATTTCAATCAAATCTTGAGAATGTATCAGATTTTTTCCAGTTAAAGAAATATTTACATCCAATAAGCAATTCCTCCGGTATTCTTTATGAGAATTTAATGATTTCATAACAATATTCAAACAATGTTAAACTGCACAGGTCTGCTCAGAAGGGAATAAAAATCAATGTCATCTGCAGTGCCTGATCAATTTTGAAAATCTACCAGCATACTAAATCTACCACATGTGTGACATAAATACTGATTAAGGGCCCTCTATACACCAATGCAAAATGTTTTTGGACTCTGAGGAAGTTATATAATACAAGAGGCCTAAGGGCCTTAACGGTCAACTGGGTATAAAACAACAATCCATAAAGGATCCATAGAGTATAAATTGAAAGCTGCAAAAACAAACCCAGGTTATACAATATATATTAATTTTTTATCGAATCAAATGATGCGTTACAACCAAAATTAAATTATATTAAAATGACTTATAATGGTTTTGTTGTTTTTGAGAAGATTTTTAAATGATCTTTCCTATATATTCCTAACTAAAACTTTGATCACCTGTTGTGCCCCCTCCTACCCCAGGGGGTCAAGATTTGAACAAATATGAATTAACATTACCCAAAGATACTTCCATATAAATAAGACAAATCATGGCTTTGCTATTCTTGAGAAGAAGATTGTTAAAGATTTTTCATATGTATTCATGTGTAAATCTTTGATCGTCACTCTATCCCCAGAGTCATGATTTGAACAAACTTGAATCTATACTATATCTGAGGATGCTTCCTTGTAAATATAACCAATCATGGCTTTGCTGTTTTTGAGAAAAGGACTTTTTAAAGATTTTTCTTGTGTATTCCAATGTAAAATTTTCATTGTCAATTGTGGCCCCACCCTACCCCCGGGGATCACGATTTAAACAAACTTGAATCTACACTACCTGAAGATGTTTCCACATAAGTTTCATCTTTCTTGGCCCAGTGGTTCTGGAGGAGAAGTTTTTTCCAATGTATTCCCATGTAAAATTTTGATCATTCATTATGGCACCGCCCTTCCCCAGGGGGTTATGATTTGAACAAATTTGAATCTACACTACCTGAGGATGTTTGCACACAAGTTTCATCTTTCTTCGCCCAGTGGTACTGGAGAAGAAGATTTTTAAATATTTTTCCTATGTATTCCTATGTAAAAATTGATCGTCCATTGTGGCCCCGCCCTAACCCCAGGAGTCATGATTTGATCAAAATTGAATCTACACTACCTGAGGATTTTTGCACATAAGTTTCACCTTTCTTGTCCCAGTGGTTCTGGAGAAGAAGATTCTTGTCCCAGTGGTTCTGGTGAAGAAGATTTTTAAAGATTTTTCCTATGTATTCCTAAGTAAAACTTTGATCGTCCATTGTGGCCCCACCCTACCCCCTAAGGGTCATAATTTGAACAAAATTGAATCTACACTATCTAAAGATTTTTCCATATAAGTTTCATCTTTCTTGGCCCAGTGGTTCTTGAGAAGAAGATTTTTAAAAGATGCTATTAATTTTTCACTAATTCTTAATTTTCTCCCCTTGGAAAAAGGACTGGCCCTTCATTTCAACAAACTTGAATCACCATTACCCAAAGATACTTTGTGGCAAGTTCGGTTGAAATTGGCTCAGTGGTTCTTGAGAAGAAGTCGAAAATTGGAAAAAGTTTACGCACGACGCACAGACGAAAACAGATAGCAATAGGTCACCTGAGTGACTCAGGTGACCTAATAAAGATGGTGCATTTAATGATTTGTATTCCAAGTGAGATCTCGCGAGAGTTGACCAATATTTATTCAGTTCGAACCGAAAAGTAGGGTGTGGTTGATGGTGGTTTGAATGGCATATTACAACTGTAGTTAATCTGTAATTGTGTGTTACTGTATCCGGACCTTGCAACATGGGTGATTTAAAAAAAAAAGGAAATAGTGAATCTTATTCATTTGTTTCATGGGGATACACCGATTCTTCCCAATCCTTACAAACCCATGGTCAACTGAGTGAGATTTCATTTGGAATAAATTAAGTAGAGAAATGTAGATATGATTTATCTCTCTTGTTTTAGAATGATTTTGCCGACAGTCTTCAAGAGGAGGCACACGTTGAAAGGAGTGAAGTTGATTCCTGTTCTAAAGGGAATAAGGGGTGGACAGTCAGGGGCATTAATACTTTGCTAGGATTGCAAGGACATAAAGGCAGATAATGTAGAGTTACCTGACATTGAAGTATTGATAGTTATGTGATATGTATGTATTGTAATGTTGATATTCTACATGTATGTATAACATAATTCTAAAAACTGGAATGGACCTATATCATTATTAAGTATTGGATTGAATTTGGTAAACCTTATATAAAATACAGTGTGGGGTTATGGCATTATTTATTTTTGTTGTTTTCTATGCATCTGAAAATAAATATCTTGTTTACATATATGTTAATTGTTGGATATATTATTTATTCAGAAGTATGTAAGAGAATTAATTGGTGAAGAATTGGCTGAAATAATGCAGATGGCTGGAAGAGAGCACAATGTAGGGGAGGCTAGATGGGTTCTACACTCTTTGATTATATTGGCCAATGAAGTTGGTCAACCAAACCCTACTAAAAAATACTATAGTTAACTATAGTAAATTAAAGTGTCAAAGTTATCACTATAGTAAATCAAAGTTTTCAAACTGATCACTATAGCGCCATAATGATCACTATAGTAAATCAAAGTTATTACTAGAGTTAATCAAAAAGTTAATAATATATTTAATTGTAGTCCCCTGGTACTAGTTCACAAGAGCCAGTCAAAGAGAATTTGAAAAGGAAGAGAAGCGGAGAAGAGGATGGGATACGAGACGTATCACTGGAGGATCGTTTGAAATCCTTGGAGAAGTCCTCAAAAGATGCAGTTAAAGAGATATAGGACAAGGTGAGGTGCCTTTGTTTACAAGAGGATCCAAGTATATCTTCTCACCCTTAAGGATCTTGCAAAGACGGCAAGGAAGGCATCTCATGAGGAGACAAAAATATATGAGTTGTGAAGACAGGCGACTCGATATCAGACTAACTTAGATATTTCAAGTTTGTATTTATCTGTTTTGGGGTGATAACATGGCAATAATAGGGTCTTGGAAAAACCAAGGAAGAAAATCGAGGCCACTAAATTGTATTATGAAGAAAATTTTGGGGTTTACTTGCGTCGCTATTTACTCCTGTTATTTGATTCGCTTTTCATTAAAACGTGCATTCTTAAGAATGATCCTCCCCAAAAAAACAAGCCCCATTTTTGTTATATCTCTCCCCCAAAGAAAACCCTTTTAACGGTTTAACCTTTTAAAGAATGATTCTCCCCAAAAAACCAAGCCCCATTTTTGTTATATCTCTCCCCCAAAGAAAACCCTTTTAACCGTTTAACCTTTTTACTTTGGTTTTACTTGCATCGCTATTTACTCCTGTTATTTGATTCGCTTTTCATTAAAACGTGCATTCCCCCTCCAAAAACAAACCAAGCCCCATTCTAATAATATCTCTCCCCTAAAGAAAACCCTTTTCCCGGGGAAATATTCCACTTCTTGTACCTTTTAGAATGATATCCGTCTCCCTATATATACTCCTGTTATTTGATTCGCTTACAGTGAAATACATACTCTTTAGTACCTCCGTCTCTCTATATAGATCTTATTACGCGCCTTAAATGTTCAAAAAAATCCTTCCCATAATTCCGTGCGATAGCGCATGCGCAGTACTGTGTAGGGCAAGGCCAACGCTTTCTTTAGATAGTAGTTTACCTGTATAGCCGCCATTTTGATTGTTTACCTTTATGACATGTGATATCGACCTGGTCTTTGGATTCTCTCGTTTCAATACTTCGCCATGCCTGCCCACTGCTGTGCATATGGCTGTAAAAACCGGCAGATACCAGGGGTAGATTTGAAGTTTTTCCGAATACCTAGGGACCCTCACCTGAGAGCAAAGTGGGTTTCGGCCATTAAGAGAGACGACTGGGAGCCTACTGAACATTCCAGGATCTGCTCTAAACATTTCATAAATGGTAAATTAAATTTTGATTACATGTCAATTAAATTTACAATTTATATAACGTGTTATGTATTACTTTCAAACAACAGTGTGAATGTACAAGGAAAAGTGGTTAAGAACACCTATGCGGCCGAATTTCCTTTAAACATGTCGTGTTAAACGACCGAATTTCCTTACGTTTTTGTTTTTTTTTTCATACGGAAATCACTATAAGGTACTTTCAACGATTGATCAGTATTGTTTGAATCTTTTTGAATTATATGGCCTTCATACTAGCTTAATTCCTAACTCTAAACTTGAGGGAGATCGGTGGTATGGTATCATAAAAAAGACCATAATAGTATGGCACTAGTCATTTTCTTCACCTCTGCATAGTTTTAACATTGCAGCTTTTGATAACTTTTAAGCAAAATATTAGTTCCATTTTGTGTAGATATTAACTCTACGCAACCTTGAGTGTGTTAATAAGTATTACTGCTTCTCAATCAGTCAATGTGCTGATTTATTACCAATCAGTTATCTTGTACCAATCAGATATCTTGCTGACCATTACTGAACTTCCTTTATAATTTCATTCAAGAAATAACTGTGTGGTCACAAATGAATAGATTTATTTAGCCCCAAAATGTTTAGATCTTAAAATACAAAGTCTCTCAAGGACACGTAAGTTGATTAGCAATTTTTACATGCATTGTTTAAAGAAGAGTTCAAGGTTTCATTAATATTATCACTGCACCAACTTGTTTTAGGTATGACTCTTTCTGCATGCTGAAAAAAAAGCACATCTAAGAAAAGTTTGTGATAAATAGCTCAAACACGCTATTCTGAATAGCTCAATAGGCTATATACCTCATTCAAGCTGTTTTGTAAAATCAAGAGATTGAGGCGGACTTGATTATGTATATTTTCGATTAATGCATAAATCTGCAAAAACAATTTTTGACTTTGGTTTAATATTTTCTTGCATAACTGTTACAGGTCAGCCATCTAGGGAGCCCACAAATCCAGATTATGTCCCATCCATATTTTCCTACAAGGCTCAACCCAACGATGCACTTCAGAGTAAGGTCCTTCGACATCAGCGCCTCAAAGAGAGAAAAGAAAACATTGCGAAGTCAGAATCTGCTGCAGCTCTTCTTTCATTGGGCAGTGAACTACCAACATGTGTGCCAGGAATCTCTACTCAGACTCCCATGCCATCTTCTTGTGAAATTTCTGTTCAGACAGACATTACTATGCCAGTGATGGAGAGTTTGATATTTACAAACCAGTATCTAAAGCATGCATATAACATCCAGAAAGCAACTGTGGATGACTTGACACTCCGCCAAGCTGAACTACAAGCCCTGTGTCACCAGCAATCAACAGAACTGCAAGATTTGAGGAATTCATTGGAAAAGCTTGAGGCAGATAACAGGGTACTGATGGAGGACATTGACAGAAAGACTTTGAGCTACAGTGCTATCAAGAATGACAAGAGAACCAGGTTTATACAGGTCTTTCCAAATTTTCAACATTGGAAAATGTGTTTGCAGTTTCGTTCAAGAAGGTAAAAAGACGGAAAACAAAGCTTCAACGAGAGGATGAACTGCTGTTAACATTAGTGAAACTGAGGAGGAATTTGGCCATGGAAGACCTTGCTTATCAATTTAATATCAGCCAGTCATCCGTCACAAACATTTTTCATTCGTGGCTAGATGCATTATACCAAAGTTTGGGTGGACTTGCTGTGTGGCCAGAAACTGACGTCTGCCAGCTACCCACAGTGTTTCAGAACAATGTGTTCAAGAAAGTTAAGTGCATAATTGACTGTACCGAAATTTTCATAGAAAGACCCTCAAACCTAAAAGCCCGTGCCCAGACGTATTCTAACTACAAGCGTCACAACACTATCAAGATTCTTGTTGGAGTGAGTCCCACCGGATGTGTCACATTCCTGTCGACATGTTGGGGAGGGAGAGTCAGTGACCGACAGATTACAGTTCAGTCGGGCATATTGGACAAACTTTTACCTGGTGATGTTGTTCTGGCAGACCGAGGCTTTCAAATGACTGAGGACTTTGCTTTGAAGGGAGGCAAACTCGTTGTGCCAGCCTTTACCAAAGGGAAAAAGCAGTTGTCTAAAGAAGAAGTTGAAACTTCAAGAATGATTTCGAGGGCCAGGATACACATTGAGAGAGTTATTGGGCGCCTGAAAGACTTTGAAATAATCAAAGGACCTCTTCCAATAAACTTGGTGAAAAAAAGACACAACAGTGCCATTCCTGCTGGGGACAAAATTGTACGTGTGGTCGCTGCAGTAGTAAACACTAATGGGGCCATTCTGTGAGAAAACCATCAACAAGACTTGGTGTGAATATCAAACCCATCTTCAGCCCTTAAATTTTTTGTGTTGTTGTTCAAAGTGAAATGAAGCCATCAAAGTCTTTGTGACTATGCTATTGTTTATGATATTAAAAATTCTGCTGATCCATATTTAATTTATGATTGAATGTATAGTGCTGTATTGTTTGAGAAAATTGGTATTATTATTTATTTCGCAATGTTTTATAGTATGTCTTACTGAAAAAGTTGAGATAATGTTGAAATAAATTTTCTTCTACTACTGGTCATTTGCAAGTCAATATACTTGTACTGTTTTTCTACCTAAAGTATTGAATAAATGAGTCAATTTTATTATTTTATGTTTTATTCGATGCAGCAAACATGGATTTCAATATATCAGTTGACATGAAGGGTGAAATCAAAAGAGCAAAACCTGATCAATGATGTAATCAAATGGAGACAGTAAAATGTGCACGAGACATCAAGTTATGGTAAATGATATATCCTTTTTTGAATGAACCTCTTGATATGAAAGTTAAATATATAATAATTAAGATATACATAAAATATGACTGTCACTTATCTGGAATATGAATATATCACAATCATTGATAATTTGTGTACACAAGTAAAGTGTCCTAGTCTATAGATGCATTAACAGTGCAATTGTCAGGAGTAAATTGTTCACTGTCTCCTTCTTTTGGATGGCGGCAGTTTTCTGCACGGCAAACATTTCCAAGATCCCGGGGGGGGGGGGGGGGGGGGCATTCTTTAGTCCAACACATTTCATGTGGAACCACTCGACACTACACTGACCAGAATCACAACCTATAAGATTGTCAAAGTCCTCTGGTTTTCCACAAATGCAGACCGTAGCGTTACTCTGTCTCATGTTGTTATTAACATCACTGCTTAAACGATTAGTTAACAGTTCTGGTAACACACATTTCCTGAAAAACTGCTCAATTTTGTCCAGTATGTCTCTAATAAAGGTCTGGTCACGCTTCACTCGCTCGATGTGCAGCCCTTTAGGAGTCCAGCAAATAAAGTCACAAAAGGCCACATCACATAATGCAATTTGTCCTTGCACTTGATAAAAATACCTAGATGATTGTTTGAGTACATTGTCACAAAGATTCAGTCCATCTTTAATAGTACATGTCCTGTTGTTATGTTTTCCTAGATAAAATCCAGTCTCTGGTACAGAGCATGGATGACTGTCCACAAACTTGAAAGGGCACTTGATTTCGACGAGTCCACGTCCACAGCAAGGACAGTCTGTCACTCCATCAGGACTTGCTCCTAGGGCTGGATGATCAGGGTGTAGCACCAATCCACTTTTTTTCACCTCGAATGCTGGGTTGTGCTTCCTCATTTCTGCCTCATACTCCCTAAGTGCAATGTCTTCTTAGGACTTTCCCCATCTAATCGCTGCTGTGTCAACGGTTGTTGAGTACATCATAATTCTATGAATCAGGGAACTGCTAGGTTGTTGTGGGTTTGTGTGGCAGATGTCATAGAAATTTGATGCTGTTAAACGACCTTTTCTGTGATTGTGCCAATGCATGGATAAGCTTTGTTGACGTGTAAGTTTCTCCAGATTTGATGCTTCATCAACAGTTACTTTAATGGTCTTCACTAGCTCACTGCACTTCGTCTCGAGGTCAGAGTCTGACAAGTTCACACACTGTTCATCATAAATTGAAGTCAGAAAAGATGGTAATGAAGGGTTTGGAATGGGTGGGTTTGGTTGCGGATCAAGTACACTGAATATCACAGCATTAGGGTGAGATTCCTTCAACATCCCCAAAAAAGTGTCAGTATTGTCAAAGTGCAGGTTGGGTTGAGTATGCAATGCTGTTGGTGGAAGGTGGAAGGTAGATTTCTTGAAGTTGATATCCGTTAAAGGAGCTGGTTCAACCTGTAAATTATCAATAAATATTTAATTTGATTCCATTCATTCTAACACACACGAAGAATGAATATTTATCTTAAACTTAAATTTCATAATTGTTAAGTAATTGGCATTTAAATTTCTACACAATGTCAGCATATTTTTGAAATTCTTTTTTGGTCACCTTTGATCAGAAAGATACATCCAATTTACATTAATATTATGCATATGAATACCTCTAACTTTAACATGTTTAAATCTACATGTAAAAACAAGGTTTACATTAAATTGAGCGAGATCACTTTCAATTTCATTATGAGGCAAAGGTTTGAGAAAGGTAGAAAAAATAAAACTAACCTTCTTTGTGAAGTTTTGATTTTATTGGCAGGACATAGATGTACAGGATACTTTATTATAGCCAAGTCTCACACTTGCTTCAACCTTGAAGAGAATTGCCGCAACAAGGGAGCAAACCTCACCCATTCTGTTAAAAAAAAAAGACTAGTTACTGATCCATGTGCACACAGTGAATACTATAATATATGAGATGTAATCAATTCTTATGTTAGTTATAGTATTTATACAATGATAACTCAGCAGAGACTAATCAATATCATTTTCATTATAGCTGCACAGAAAGTTAAACAACAAGTTGCCACTGTCAAAAGGGGGCGGACCAATCCCAACCCCTCCCCCAAAAAAGTGGGGGCAAACTAGCATCTAAAGAGACAAATTACTCTAGCAAATTAACCCTGTTGTTCTTCGACCCAACTGCATTTTCAAGAAAAGATTACTGATCATATTTTCAACTTTTCATTTAGATAATGCTTTGAGTATAACAGGTACCAATTTTCACACATACATACAACAAAAGTAGCTAGTTATCTACATTCTACCACATTTTCTTTTTGTGGGGATGTCTGAATGAAAAATCCTTGTTGCCTGGACACATAACCAAAGCATGTTTAGTGATTTTATATTATATTTTCACATTAGATATGTTAAAAGAGAGAAACTTACCCTGCCACAAAAGTGCAGTGTGCGTTGAAAATCGTACCGTTTTGTTTGTGTACACAAATCCATGCATCATGCGGCTTCTCCGTAGTGGCCTGTGATCTGTTCACTTTGGCGCGCAGGATGCAATTATCACCTCTGTCCATTTCACAATACAACACTGTTTGCACCCACCCGCTGTGGAAATAATTGTATGCCTCTAAAGACCTATAGGCTTTCAGTGTTTCGCGAGTAAATCGTCCAGGGCTGTCCACTAGGTAACAATAAAGCTGTCCAAACTCCACGTCCGGCCATTTTGTCACATTGTCTACCCAATTATCGCTGTCTATGAATGGATCCTGACACAAATCACTTAATCCTAGCTGCAAAAGTTTACCTGTATAGTCTACTTGACAAGCCTCCGGCAGTGATTTGTAATACAAACTTATATCGACGATCAATCAGCTGATTCATTCAAAACAAGCGTCTTTCTTCTTACTATAGCGTGGGTCTAACTTGCCCTACACAGACTGCGCATGCGCGGGGTCAGAGGTCAAATTTTAAAAAAACAAAAGACGCTTAATAATAGCTATATACTCATATGTTATTTGATTCGCGAATCAAATGAATTCCGGGTTTTACTTGCGTCACTATTTACTCCTGTTATTTGATTCGCTTTTCATTAAAACGTGCATTTTTAAGAATGATCCCCCCCCCCCCCAAAAAAAAAAACAAAGCCCCATTTTAATTATATCTCTCCCCCAAAGAAAACCCTTTTCCCGGGGAAATCTTCCCCTTCTTGTACCTTTTAGAATGATATCCGTCTCCCTATATACAACTGTTATTTGATTCGCTTACAGTGAAATACATACTCTTTAGTACCCCCGTCTCTCTATATATATTCCTGTTATTTTGATTCGCGAATCAAATTACTTCTGGGCTTTCATTGCATCGGCATTTACTCCCGTTATGTGATTCGCTTCATGGTGAAATACAAAGGCTTTAAATACCCTCGTCGCACTATATATACTCCTGTTATTTGATTCGCTTCAATGGGTAAAATAGTTGTAAACAATTTGAACATTACGGACCAGAATTGTAACGATTGTTAGCGATATGAAAATCTGAGAATGTCGGGAGTATAAAAATGACCCGGGATGAATTTAACGTTAACGTCAACAACGTCAAACTAATAGGGTTCGCCGACCACCGTCTCTGGTTCTAAATTTTACTGTGTTGTTATGGGGTATACGAAAGACGCTTGATCACGTCACACGTGCGCTTTAACACGCTATTTTCACTTTCTCACTTTTGTTTATCAACTTGATTACGAGTTTGCGATGGTTATATACCTTTGAGTTCCTCGTTTTGGGCGGTAAAATGGTCACAGATATACAAAACCATGCTGTAATATAACTTAAGTGGCGTGTCGCCATAAAACGAGAAGATCCTACGACGAAACGTTACATGGCGTCCCTGGATACAGCTAAAGATCACACTGATGTAGTTTGTCACTACTATTTCCAAGAGTCTGACTAAGGGGTCAGAGTCAGGTGCAGTAAGATTGATTTATTGATAATCTGTACAATTTAAAGGATTTCTTGATTTCATCAGTGTTCACTTGATTGCTATTGCATGTAATGATTTATTGAAGTTCATGTAGCTTAAATATTTCTGTTTTGTTTTACATTTCAGAATTCAGAATTTCCAATACTAAAGTAAGTACAAATTTAATCATGCATCATGCAAGTCTCGTAAAAAACAAGTGAATTTATAGTTTTTATTTATCACTGAGCCATAACATGTAAAGAGTTATGACTGTATGAAAAGTGAATCACAAAATAAGATTACATTATTAATGTTATTTGATACGACAAAAAATAATAGTTTGGTTAGATTGAAGTGCTTGCGTCCAGTAACCATATGTGACTTCAATTTCAGCACAGCAAGTGATGGAAGACAATTTGAAGAGACTCCAGATTGTTAAAAGCAACTGTGGGAAAAATAAGCAAGTACCAAGCACCTCGTCTGTAATGGAGATGACATGTAGTAATTAAATCCAACATGTTGTTATTTTTGATTTTCTACAGGAGAGACTACCCCTGAATACAAAGAAC